AGTTATGAAAAGGCCTGGGGGAATCTTAAATGCATATTACTAAATGAAAAAAGCCAATCTGAAAAGGCTACATACTGTAGGATTCCAATTCTGACATTCTGGAAAACGATTGAGACAGTAAAAAGATCAGTGGCTGCCAGAGGGTAGGGGGGAGGAAGAGATGAATAGGAGGAGTGCAGAGGATTTTCAGGGCAGTGAAACTACTCTGTATGATCCTACAATAGTGGATACCTGTCATTATACATTTGTCAAAATGCATAGAGTGTACAACACCAAAAGTAAACCCTAATGTAAACTGTTGACTTTGGGAGATAATGATGTGTCAATGTAGGTTCATCACTTGTAGCAAATGTACTACTCTGGTGTGGAATGTCGATGGTGGAGGAAGTAGGGGTTTGTCGGTGGGGGCACCAAGGGTATATGGGAACTCTTGGTACTTTCTGCTCAATTTTTTTGTGAACCTAAAGCTGCTTTAAAAAATAAAGTCTGTTCAAATGTTGGAGGGGTTGTGGAGAAAAAGGAACCCTCACACACTGCTGGTGGGAATGCAAACTGGTGCAGCCACTATGGAAAACAGTATGGAGATTCCTCAAAAAATTAAAAATAGAAATACCTTATGACCCAGCCATCCCACTACTGGGTATCTATCCAAAGAACTTGAAATCAGCAATTCCAAAAGTCCCGTGCACCCCTGTGTTCATTGCAGCATTATTTACAATAGCCAAGACGTGGAAGCAACCCAAGTGCCTATCAACTGATGATTAGATAAAGAAGATATGGTATATATATACAATGGAACACTACTCAGCCATAAAAAAGGATAAAATCGTCCCATTCACAACAACATGGGTAGACCTTGAGGGTATTATGTTAAGTGAAATAAGCCAGACAGAGAAAGACAATCTCTCTATGACTCCATTCACATGTGGAAGTAAAACATGTAGACAAAGAGAACAAATTAGTGGCTACCAGGGGAAAGGGGGAGAGGGGTGGAGGGTGGGCACAAAGGGTGAAATGGTGCACCTACAACACGACTGACAAACAATAATGTACAATTGAAATTTCACAAGGTTGTAAACTATCATAATCTTAATAAAAAGTGAAAAAAATAATCTGTTAAAAAGAATATATATACAGATATATGTATATAAATAATGGGCAAAACCAGTTTACAGTAGCAACAAAAATTATTAAATACTTATTAATCTAGAAAGAAATGTGCAAAAGTGTATTTGAAGGCTACCATAAAACTTCAGAGACATAAAAGACTTGAATAAATAGTATTAGATGGAATGGGTCAATTTTATAATGTCGGTTTTTCTCAAATTAACCAATGCATTTAAGGCAATCTTTTTTCTTCTTCTTCTTCTTCTCCCCAAAGCCTCCCAGTACATAGTTGTATATTCTAGTTGTGAGAAAGGCAATCTTAATTAAAATCCTAAAGGTTTTTTGGGGCAGGAACTGCAAAATTATTCCAAAGTTGATCCCCAAGAATAAACATGGGAAATAACCAGGAAAATTCTGTGGGAGAAAAATTAGTGAAAGTGATCATCCCAAAACATATATTAAAATATATTCTTAAACTGTAATGATCAAAGTAGTATGTTATAGTGCCAAAATAGAAAGAAATATCAGTAGAACAAAATAGAAAATCCAGGATAATGAAAATTTTCAAAATATATATTTGGTATTTCAAGTCAGTGATCAAAGATAGAGAGTAGATTAAAACACAAAATAAAATTTAAAAAACTTGACATATGTGTGATAAGGTGTCAAGAATGAGCCATCAATATTTCTTAAAACGTCAGAACAGTGATACAGATAGCTCAATTGCTGAGATTTTACTCTTTCCCAATACTTGATTTTCTTTTCTCATTGGACCAAGAAATTAAGAATATATTATTGGGCTTTGAAAAAAGCCAACTATCAACAGAACATGAAGAAATACTTTCTAAGAGCTGAATTCAAACAAAGAGTTATTTAAAAGTCCACTTGTCGGGGCCAGCCCAGTGGCATAGTGGTTAAGTTCACACACTTCGATTCAGTGGCCCAGAGTTCACGGGTTCAGATCCTGGGCACGGACCCAAGCCATGCTGTGGTTGCATCCCACATACAAAATAGAGGAAGATTGGCACAGATGTTAGCTCAGTGACAATCTTCTTCAAGCAAACAGAGGGAGATTGGCAACAGATGTTAGCTCTGGGCCAATCTTCTTCACAAAAAAAGAAAAGAAAGAAAAAGTCCACTGGTTGCTAACTTCTAAGCTGAAAAATGCAACTTTCCAGAATTTGAGTGTAACATGCCTGTCACTATAGCATCTGCCTGAATGATGAAAAGTAGTTTTCAGTGGCAAAATACTCTCTTTCTGGATGTGAATTCAGTTTAAACATCTAGAACTATTTAACAAAGCCACCAAACACTTGACATTTTTTTAAGCCTATAATTTTGAATTAAAATGTTTCTAATTTAATAGAAAAAAGAGATAAACAAAGGTGACTAAATGTGGAATGTATCTTAAAGCTCACGCTATCCCTTACTGTACCAGACACAGATAGACTGGTGAAAAATTGCTATCAGTATCCTTTCTTATTGATAGGAAATATTATTATATATTATTTTTAATGTGGTAATTTAAAAATTCTCTAAAAGTTGAGATTTTTATGTGTACTGAATATCCATAATGAATTCAGTGATGTTGAGTTTGAGAAACATTGCTTCACCACTGTTCTTCAGCTGTAAAACTAAATGTGGATCTAGATAGAAAGTGAATGCTAGAAAATGAAACTTATAATCAAAATCCCCTGGATTCATGAGAATCCAAAATAGAATATATAAGTATTTATATCTTCTTGGATTTTGTATTATTCAGATTTTGAATAGGCTTTACTCCTTCAGCTTAGAACTATGTGTAATGTGTTATTTGATTCACTGTAAAGTGAGCTTCCTTGCTGTTTTATATAATATTTATTCAAAATTATAGCTGTTACAATTCTTTAGACACTTAATGATTTTGGCCTTAGTTTATGATCTTTATGTTTGATACCTCAAGTATTTTGTTAGCTAAGGTCCAGCAATTTCCTAAATTAATTTTAATACATTGGTTTTATGAATTTCTTGAGTGTTGGAAAGATATGAATAAAAATGAAAAATTCAATGTATGAGTTTTTTAAGACTGTTCTGCATCAGGCTGGTTGGATTTCAGCATTCACTAGCTGAATGACCTTGGAAAGGTTACATAAACTCTCTATGCCTGTGTTTCCTGGGGCTCTGGTTATTCTGCTCCACCATGCATTCCCAGTTATTTCACTTCCATCTAGGGCCAAATGGTGGGAGATACAGAAAGGGGAAAAAAGCCTAAGGGAGGTTGGCCCTATCCTGGAATCACAGTGCTACTAAACAGAGAAGAAGGTTTCCCTCCCTCAGAAGTGTGGCTCTTGCAGTTTTCCACTACTCCTACCACCGCCACTGTAGGATTTCTCCAGGGCTGTGGTGTGAGAGAACAAAGAAAAGGGAGATGAGTAAAAGGGAAAGGGATTCCTGTACTCTCTCTGAAGAGGAGGAGTTCCTTTACCTGGTCCTTGAGCCAAACCTAGAGTACCTTTCCCGGGGTTCTGTCAGTGCCACAGCTTTCACTTCTGGATATCTGGCTGTGTTAAGTTCAGGCTGGAGGTACCAAAGAGGAGGAGGAGAGGAGGAGGTCAGCTCCCTGCCGGTTCAGAAATACCTTGAGTTCTGGTATTCTCTGATTCATCTTCTGCTCTTTACAGAGACCTCGAATAGGTGCTCCATGCATTCTGTCCAGGTTTTCTGGTTTCATTCAGTAGGTGAGACAGGCTAGAGTGTGTCTGCTCCATCTTACCCAGAACCAGACCTCAAATTTCCTTTTAAAAGAGAGCACTTGGGGCCGGCCTGGTGGCTTAGTGGTTAGGTTCATGCAATCTGCTTCTGCGGCCCAGGGTTCCGCAGGCCTGGATCCCAGGTGCCAGACCTACACACCACTCATCAAGCCATGTTGTGGCGGCATCCCATATACAAAGTAGTGGAAGATTGGCACGGGTGTTAACTCAGGGACAATCTTCCTCAAGCAAAAAGAGAAAGATTGGCAACAGATTTAGCTCAGGGCCAGTCTTCCTCAGCAAAAGAAAAAACACCCAGAGAACGCGCATTTGTAATATTACCACCATCCCTTCTGCTTTTCTAACCCAAGACCATTCTCATACTAAGGTACAATTTGAATTGTATTACTACCTTGCAAAAAAAGCCTTATTAGCTCTTCACTGTGTCTAGGATTAAGTACAGACGCGTTTTGGCATTCACATCCCCCAGCTGCATATACCTCATATTCCAGCCAAACAGGAATACTTGCTGATATATCCTATTACACATTTGTAACTTTTGTTAAATTGTCTCTGCCTAAAATAGTTTCCCGACCTTTCTACCTCTTCAAATTCTACACATCTTTTAAAACTCAGCTGCACTACCTTCTTAAAATTTGTTTTAGTTCTCTACCCTGCTCTTACGTGCTCCTCATAAAAGGAGTATGTGATCTTTTCAGCCTTTGAATAACTGTTATTTCTGTTAGTGCCTTTTTCAATATGTCTATGTGTGTACAGGTATACGTATGTGTATATACATATATCTATACATATGCATACACACAGTTTATTTTAAGATTATTTTTATGTTTAGAGATACACTAACTGTGTCTAGCGCAGGCTATTATGCCTCAATTCCAATAGATTCAAGTAACATTTAGTGCCTACCATGTACTTTTTCACTTACTCCTCTATAACACCTCTTTGAGATATTTATTCTAAATCTTGTTTGTATGAGGACAGTGAGGGTAAGTAAAGTAACATTATCTTAACTCTTCTACAATGATTGTGAGTTTCTTGGGAGTAGGAGGTTCCATATTCAGTTTTCTACTACCTAATACCTATGGTATAGTAGCTACTGAGTAAACATAGCAATGGTATTAACTGTTTTTTTTTTCCCTACAGTATCTTGGCCATGTAGAAGTTGATGAATCAAGAGGAATGCACATCTGTGAAGATGCTGTAAAGAGATTGAAAGCTGTATGTATTTGATGGTTGCCAGTGTTGATCTATTTACTGTAAATATTTTCTTAAAAGATTTTGCTCAGGAAATTTTAGTGACCCACTATCCAGTAAGAACAGTGTTTCTCTTAAGGCAAAAGATGTGGGCTCACTAATAAAGAGCATCTCATGTTGTCTGTCCAAAGGTATAAATTATAAAGATCAACTTCTTCAATTTAGGCTAAATGTTATCCAAAAGATACTTTTGATTCAGAATCCATATTAAACAGTAGTATGAAATCTTATAGATGACTAATGTTCTAAAACCAGGATAAAGTTGGTACAGTTAGTGTCTTAACCTAACTGTGATAACTGGGTTATAAATTACTAATTTTAAATCTACTATAAGAAACAGCTTTCCAGGAAAAAGTAGAAGATAACGATATCTGTGCTGGTACTGGTGAGGTTTACGTTTTGGGGAGACTTATTATCTTGACTGCTACTCCTCAATTTCCTTTTCTACACCTCTCTAACATAAACAGTATTTTTCCCCTGCCTTCTGTACAAACTTCAGTATACTTGAAATGGAGAGCCCTTTTCCAGAATAAATAATGTTTCCTTTGCCTTTTATGCCATAGAACACATCCGAGGCTCATGCCTGTGTATTTAATAAAAGGAGAGAATGGGTTCAGAGTTCATAAAGGTTCAGATTAAAGTGTTGATTTCATATTTTGGATAGGTTTGAAGAATGTTTCATAAACTCTGACAGCCCTCTTCTCAACCTTCCTTCTCTCCAATGTGTGGCCTTCCCCCCTTTGCTGTGAAAGCTTTACGCATTACTTCTGCATGCCCTTGCCCCAAAGAGCGTTAAATACTTCTTGCTTTGGGTTTGTTGGTATGGCAGGCTGCCATAAGTTTGGCTACTAATGAGTGCTTTTTTTCCTCGATTTGCTTAATAATCAAAATTCTTCTGCTTCTTGGTACATTCCATATGACCTCTTATCTATAATTCCTCAATATAAAAGACAAAATTAAAGAGGCAACCAATCAGAGAGGTAGATTATATTTTGGAACAAATGCCTGAATCTGTTGTAGAACAGAAAGGAGGAAAAAAATAACTGATTATAGTATGCGAAGAACTAAAAAAAATAAACCAATATATAGAAACATGTACACATACATATACACACAGATACCCTCTACCTTAGATTTTGGTCATTTAAATTCTTAAATGATTGAAGTCTTGCCTAAGTCTATCTGTGCTCTCTAGTTAATCTTCATTAATGTTAAAGAGACTTACATCCATGTATTATGGTACATGAAACTATAATTTATAGATTTGCCATGTCCACCTGAATATATTTCCCAGTTAACTTAGATAATTAATTTTCCAAGAAATGTAAACCCAACCTCTTTTTTAACAAAATAATTCTAAGCTTACTAGAAGAATAAGTTTAGCTAAGAACATTTTTAAAAGTAATGCAATGATTTGCCCTAATAGTCATTAAAGACATTTTAAACATCATAATACCAATGACTGAAACAACAGACAAATCAGTGAACAGATTCGATAGACCTGAAACAAACTATAAGTAGTTATTAAATCTTATAACTTACATGACTTACAGTTAGAAGGTCTCTGTGGAATAGGCCTTTAGAAAGTCTTTTAATTCAGAGTATGGCTTTATGTTCACTCTCTAAATAAGGAAAAACTAGGGGTGGTTTAAGTTTGCCCAGAAGATATTAAGAAATGGTATTTAGTTGTTTAATGAGCAGTTAATCCTTTTACTGTCTAGATTTTTTTAACGTGCTTTTAATTAGAACATCTCTTTAATATATAGGTAGTGTATGTTCATTTTATAAAATACAAATGAACAAAAACAGTGCATAAAATCTCTTGCAGTCCCAGAGATAGCCACTATTTACTGTCTAGTTTTAAAACTAATTTTCTAGTTGAGTGAATTATTTTTTGTTTTACCTTTTTTTTTTTAACCAAGAAGATTGTAAACTATAAACCTGATTATTTGAGGTACAGGACTATTTAGATAATAAAATTCAGTGAGTTTTTATTTTCACAGAAATAGGAACCAAATTGCCATTTAAAAAATTATACCTATGGCTGAAACAGTGTCTGGCACATAGTGGCCACTCAAAAAAATATTTCTGTAATGAATATATAGGAAACAATTCAGTTCTCAGTATGTGGTCAAACGGAAACTCATAATGATCATCATAACTATATCTTATATTTAATATTTTAAAGTTTATGAAACTATTTTGCATATCTCTGAAAGATCTTTATTTTCCTATGGTTTTTATGACTAAAACAAGGTTTTATATATGTTGATTGCTTTTCTGGACGTACTTAAACTTTTGAAGTTTGAGGGGAAATTGACCACTTCTGGACTTTTCATTCAAGAAGTTCTTTAAAATTTTTCAGACTAACCCTATCCAAGAGACTTGGAGCAAATGCTTATATAATTTTCATGGACAAACATGTATTTTGAAAAAGAAAAGGTTGTATTTTTGGGTAACTGGGATAGATTCCTGTTTATTATACTCAATGAAACTTCCCCCTTCTATAAATATCCTTTCTAATGCTGTACTGAGAAGCTTGCAGAAAGTTGGAAGTCTTCAGGATATTGTTCTTCTCAGATCATATTAGCTTACAAAAATTCATGATTTTTGTCTTTTTTTCATATTTTTTACTATGCAGACATTTAAAATTGCCTTTTTACCCCCATCTTACCAAACATGCATCTAACAAACATCTATAATCTTCTGTGCCAGACGCTTATATTGTGCCAAAAGCTATGTCTTCTGAGGATTTTTGTTTATTTTTATAGATCATAAAGCTTCCTCTTAAGAGTTTCAAATAAATGGAAGCAAATATAAAAGTATATAAGCCTGCAGATTAAAGAAGAAATAGCATATTTATGAAACTAGTTTGAATGCCAGAGAATTATATAGCTTAAAAAATTATGTAACTCAGATGTACAGGTTAAGTAGCAAAACAAACATCTTAAACCTATCACTTGAATGATGTTTGAATTAAAACTATAACACTCTGGTGCTATTTAAGTTTGTGGGGAATTGGGGAAGCAGGATAATTTGCAAGTATAGCTTTTTTTCCCCTCAAAGTAGACCGTTACAATTTAAGATTACTTCAATTTCACTTAAAAGTTATCTGCATACTTAATGTTCTCAAATAAAAAGATATTATAACCAAACATGATAGTATTTTAAACATACTGCTTCTCAGAGCATAAATATGTTTAAAATTTTTTTACTTTGTATGCGTAAAGTTAGTTACAGCTATCTTCAACTTGTGTTTACTTTGTGACATAATTCACAAATTAACCACTTAAGGACTTAGATTGTATAGGATAAGTCACAGAAATAACTGTTGCCCATTTTCAGTGCCTTTATGGCATAGTCAGTTGCAAGGTGAGGAGTAATGTCATTTATCAGTCTATTTTGTAAGAAGTGTATCAGGCCTTTGATTATCTTGCTTGACACTGGTCCAAGATGCCCTTCCTTTTAAAGGTCTTTTCTTCCCATTGTCTCTAAATGTCTCTCCCTCTCTGTCTTGGTTGTAGACTAGTTTCATTATACTACCAGTTTCTAATATGTTGGGTTTTTATTCACTATTTGATATATTTGTTTTAATATATGTTCTTGTTTTAGCAGGTAAAAGAATCATAACTTAGTTGTTTTTTTAAAAAACATTAATATTATTCTCTAATCTTATAACTACCTTTTTATGCATTTTGCATGTCATCTTTTTTCATTAACGTCTAAGATCTTTTATAAAAAGAAGGCAAACTCCATGTTTAACAAGAGCTTTTCTAGGAGCTAAATTAAGCATTAACAATCTTCTTCCCTTACCTCCCTATCCCTCAAGAATGGTTTATCTTTTAACTTTGTCTGCATCTTTAAAAGCTGATGGTTACTCACAGTCTAACAAAACTAGGGTCACCAAACTTGGCAGCAGAAATAAGCTTAGTCTTATTGGGTTAACTACGCCAATTACTTTATTATTTTTCCAGTTTAAATTCAAAAAATTTTGTGGAAATATTTGATGCCGTTTGTGATTTTCGAAACTTAAGACGAAAGCAAACTATTCAATGTTTGAGAGTATTGAATGAGTTTAATTGTCTGAGAGAGTCAAATTTCAGTACAGTTGTCGTTTTCTAGATATTTATCAAACATTAAAAACTGACTATAAAAAGTAAAGGCTTAAAGTATAATTCAACCAAAGCTTGGAAATGTAAAATTAAGCTAGCTTGAGTGAATTAGAATCCATGTACTTTGTATAAGTTCTTCAGATTTTAAATGGTGGCCAGTTTTCAAAGTTTGTGTATGCTTAAAAATTGGTGCTGGTACCATAGATAAGGATGTCTCGCTTATCTGCATAGTTTCAGAATTGTATAACTGTCAGTGCAAGTTTCTTTATTCTGAAACAGTAGCATTTAAAAAGAAAACAAAATTCCATTCCTTTTAGTTCTGGTCCAGAGATGTGGTTTGGTTCTCAGATATACTTGCTTTTTTAGCTCCAGTGAAAGCATTAGCCTTGTGTTCTTTATAGATGATTTATTCTGTGTTTGGAATAGAACATATCTGTTATTTCCCCATGATTTTTGTGGAATTGATCAGCACACACATACATACAAATTGATCTTAATGCATAAGTAAGGATTCTTTCTCTAAGTGACATTTTGAACTCAGTAAGAAAAAGTCTGACAAGGACCCTTGCTGTACTCTCATAATTTAATTTGATGTGTTGTTGCATTTTTTTATGTGATTATGTGGTCATCAAATGTGGACTGTTTTAACTGATGATTTCCGTATAGTTGACTGCTGATTTTAAATTGAAAAATGTATGTGGAACCCGTCTTCTATTTACTACTCACTATTATGAAATTTAAAATGAATATTTCACCATGCCAGTATGCCCTAATCTTTTTCTCTGCTGCCAAATTTGGATAATCTCTGTTTTAAAAGTATATAGAAAATAACTAAATTAACTAGTTCCTCTGCATGGATATAGGTTCTGATTTCTTCTCATTCTTTCCATGGATTCTTAGGCCATACAGTTTGTTTCCCTGCATTTTTATGCACCTTGCTTTTTCCTTGTCACTCCTGGTATGGATAACTCTTTAAAACTCTCACCCACTCCCCTTTCCTACTTTGCCCTTTACCCAACTTCTGTATTTGCTTATTGGTGTGAAACCCTGGGACATTTAGCCCATACAATAATAGCCCTCGACTTGTCCCCCTGTTCCTCCAGGAAAGGAAGTTCTTCAAAGGCTTCTTTGGAAAAGTAAGTTTGATGCCACATTTGTGCTTGCTTTATAAGGAGTTACACCCCTAGTATAGCACTGACATATTTTTAAAAAAGAAGTACAACTTTGGTTTCTTTATAATACAGGAATTTGTTTGACTGTATATGGAAATTAATGAATTGAAAAGTTGCTGTCTATGATATTACCTGTGTGTCTGTTGATATTAGATCTGATGATTCCTAGGAAAGTCCGATAAATAAATCAAGTAGGTTAAAAAAGGATTGTCTCCTCAAGACTAGGTGTTAAAATAAATTTAATTTGATCTTGCAAAACTGTTTATGTTAGCATATTAGCTGAATTTTTAAGAAGTGGGTTTTACTTCTTGCTCAATATTGACAGAGAAATGGGAAAAAATATTAAATTCAAGAGAAAATTAAGTGCACCCCAAATTTTACATTCAGTGCTATTACTTTTTTTTCAATCTAAGGGAAATTTCAGGTGAAGTAAGTAAAAGTACATAAACATATCTTTGGGGATCCTATGATTTTTAACCTGCTAATCTAAGAAAAACTATCTTAATTATTAGTCCACCAAATCTCTCTCATATGTGGAGCATTCTTTAGGTAGATACTTTGCAAGTAATGATTGTTTAATGTTAAGATTTCCTTAGAATTAAGAATATACAGTGTGACAGTACACAAATAGGTAAATACATTTCTAACATTTTCGTGCCCAAGTTTATTATTGTTTAGTTGTAAACAATAAGTATTATAATTGTAAGTGCTACAAAATAATTCAGACTGATGCAATATAAGAAAAAACTACTGTCATTGAATGACTGAGTGTAAATTACTGAAAGTTTATGTGAATATAAAAATCTCATCACAGTTGATCTTGTACTGGGTTGTTTGGGTACTTTGGAAATTTATTTTAAAGAACAAATAGTTTCCATTTCCTTCTCAAGTGAATATTTTAGTTGTAACCTGTTTTTGCATGATCTTGTTTAGATCACTTTTATACTAATGTTAACAAATTCGAAGGATTTTAGATTGAATGGTTTCAGTTACTGCTGTCAATCTGAAATAAAAAGTCATATAATCTACCCACACGTCACAATAAAATTTTTTAGTAGACATTTTGAGTCTGAGTCAAATTAACAGGTCCATAGAATCTAAGATCCACATCTAGAAAGAATTAACCCTATAAATATTTGCATAGTTATAGACAGGCACTATAATTGTTAAGCAAATTTTTTGGTGGAGTATTTATTCTTTCCCAAATAGAATTTCTCAAAGCAATTTCACATCACTACAATTATCATACAATTTTAATTATCTTCCAAATAATCAGTTTTTAATATTCTACTTTAGTAAAATAGCCTTGTCTGTGAAGCCTAGGTTATAGAAAATATTGATTTGTTTTATGGAAAAAACATGTTAAAAGTATATTTTTTTAAAAAGGTTATAACATAGTATTAGGGAACAAAGGTAGCTCTCACTTCAGAATTAGTCCTAAGGTGACAGTTTTCGCTGCTGTGTATAATGGGGTCATGGTGCGCCCACAGTAGCTGACCTGGGCCATGCTGTGCTTCTTAGCTGTTTTCACTGCATTTTGCTAGATGATAAATTTATGTGGCATAAGGAAGAAAATTATGAATCATCTCACTTAATCCTTACAATAATCCTGAAATTATTCTTCTTCCCTGCTTTATAATGAGGAAACTGAAGTTTACAGAGGTTAAGTGCCCTGTCTGAATTCGCAGATATAGTAACTGGTAGAAGCTAGGATTTGAACCCATTTAATCTGACTTCAGAACCCACAATCTTAATCACTATGATATACAATCACTCTGTTTTCATATTATTTATAAGTGAAGTTTAAAAGATTTAGCCTCAAAAAATGCTAGTAAATAAAGAGCTTCCTGGAAATTCACTTTTACTTTGTAACTTTCTTCTTTAAAGGTAGTAATTTAACTTTGGATTTTATCTCTAGTCAGTTTACTTTTTTATTAGTTAAAGCTTTAAAGAATCTTTTCAGGGGCTGGCCTGGTGGTCTAGTGATTAAGTTCGCACACTCCATTTCAGCAGCCCAGAGTTTGTGGATCTGGATCCCAGGTGTGGACTTACACACTGCTCATCAAGCCATGCTGTGGCGGCATCCTACATACAAAATAGAGGAAGATTGCCACAGGTGTTAGCTCAGCAACAATCTTCCCCCCCCCCCCCCCCCCCAAAAAAAGAAGAATCTTTTCAGTGGTTCAATCTAACATTTTATTTATTTGGAGATATTTAAATCATACTGGTGAGTTTGACTCCCACAGGATTTCCTTAAAAGATGCTAAGTGATCCCATAATGGCATCTGTGAACAAATGTGACTTTCAGAATCCTTTTCTTATGTTATTGCAGAGAAAATTCTTTTTAGGGCAGGGCAATTTTATTCTAATATACAGTTCACAGTAAGTCATTCAAAGAGTTTGGAAAACCAAGGGGGAGAAAAGCATCACCCATAATCTTACCAGAAATGTGCTTTTAAATGAAACACTTTAATTTGAAGGCTTTTAAGTCTTTCAAATTGCCATCATTCAACTCACTTCCACACTAATCTACAAGAAAAGGCTGGTGAAAGAGACTTCGTTTGTTGAGTTTGCTGAGTCAGGTGTGCTTTGATGAGAGCTGAAAATGAAGAATCTCATACAACACCATATAATAGGGAGTTTTTATCCAGTACAATTCCTCATAAATTTTCATACTTTCTTAGCCTTCACATCAATGTATGGTTTAAAGGTTCAGGATAAAGAGAACCAGAGTTGTCAAGAAGTGTTTCCATCAAACATATTTGCATAAAAGTAGGTAGATGGAAGAATTATTAGCCCTGATTCTGAATTTATCGATCAAACCCAGGAGAACTGCTCCCTCTTTTCCCTAAGTTGTCTCCTGGACCTGACCACCCAGTCACTTCCCTATTTCTACATCACCAGCTAAAAGGAACAGTGCCTGCAGAACCTTTAGCCTTAAGGAAGAGAGAAGGCTGCGTCTGTTAAGAGCACTGTATTATTAACCTATTGTAAGCTTACACACATCTTAGAAGGAAAAAAAACTGAGAACCTGGAATAACTTTTTCCAAACTAGCTACGTTAAATTGTTCGTTGTTTTAGGAAAGCCAAGAATGTACTCAACTTTTTAGGAAGTATTATAGGCAGCTTCATTAGTATATTTGGCCATACTAGGCAAGTAGTTTATTACCAAGAAATTACATGCCACTTAACATTTGAAAAGGATTTTGTAATTTTAACATATTTGAGGAACCCCATGAGTTAAGTAATCTGTATTCCCATTTTATAAGGAACTGACTGAACATAGAGATATAAAATGTTCTTAGGCCACCCTATTTGGTCTCTTTTTAAAGTCATTGTATTAGAAAAACTCAGTTGTCTGCCTCCTGTGAGTCTTTCTCCTGTTTCCTTTACTATTGACACAAAACACTTCACTGCTGATCACCAAATATGTAGAGATTTTTTCCCCACACCAAGCAATTCTCCGCGACACTAGCTAGGTGTCCTACAATTTAACTCAGTTCTAACTGTATCTACCTGGAGATAGCATCAGATCCCACAGGTTAAGGGCTCAGTCCCGCAAGACTGCTCCCACCCTACTTCAGATGCCAGTTGCAAGTAGTAGGTCCCCAGGTTACCTACAACTTTTGTCCAGTTTGGCTACAAATTGGAGGTTCCCGTGACCCCCTCCTCAGTTTTGATTAATTTGCTAGAGCAGCTTGCAGAATTTAAGGAAACACTTAACTTACTTTTACCAGTTTATTAAAGGATATGATAAAGAAGATAGATGAACAGCCAGATGAAGAGATATGTAGGGCAAGGTCTGGGAGCATCCCAAGCGCAGGAGTTTCTGTCCCTGTGGAGTTGGGGTGCATCACCCTCCCGATGTGGATGTGTTCGCCAACCTGGAAGCTCTCCAGACCTCATACTATTGGGACTTTATGGAGGCTTCCTCACATAGGCATGATCAATTATTATCTCCATGTCCAGCCCCTCTCCTCTCCCTGGGGGGTGGGAAGTGGGCTGAAAATTCCAAGTTTCTAATCCTGGCTTGGTCTTTTCAATGACCAGCCTCCATCCAGGAGCCCACCCAAAGTTGCCTCAATAGAACAAAAGATGCTCCTGGTGCTTTTATCACTTAGGAATTTACAGGGGCTTTAGGAACCCTGTGTCAGGGACAAGGTCAAAGACCAAATATTAGAACATGAGATGCTCCTAGTGCTCTTGTCACTTAGGAAATTACAAGGGTTTTGGGAGCCCTGTGCCAAGAGCCAGGGGCAGAAACCAGTATATATTTTCTATTATCTCACAGCCATTTACTTGTATTTATATAGAGCTTTATAATTTATAATGTGCTTTGACCTACTTTCTAATTTGCTACTCACAACAGCTCAGTGAATTAGACAAGATAGTTCATGAAACTACGTTTTACAAATGAATAAACAAGCTCAGAGAAGACATCTAGCTAGTAGTAAATGGTAGTGCCTACCCTGAAACCAAGGTTTTCTGAAACTTGGTGCAGAGTTCTTTCACCTACCCCATATTAATGATCTCTCATTCAAAAATATTGGCCTCTGCTTTCCTCAGGTATGCCTTAATTATGATGAATGGAGAATTGTCTAGTGCAGAGGACGGTAGACAGCTCAAGGGCCTGAATGCTTCCTGCAAACATGTGTTGTATGGCCTGCACACAGTTCATAAATTTGAATTAGTTTCCAATATTTCAAACATTGAAAGCTTTCATGTAAAAACTAGGATATTTATCTTAAGAATTAGAAAATCTGTCAAAACGGTGTGCTTTCTATGTGGCAACAGTGGCTTGAGCTGAGTAGGGACTATGCCCTTTGGTTGCCTGTTCACCACTATCCCTGCGAGTCCCTATTGCCCTTACACTCAGGCTGCTTCACTCATTTGGTCACCTGCTTTCAAGCCTGTAGGCATTTGAGTTTGTGAACTCCTCCCTCAGCAGTTATATCACTTTGAGT